CCAAACAAACCAGCCTTATGACTTGTGTGTTTCATTGTCAACATGTTCCCCAAATGAACACAAGTTTTTTTGTCTACCCTAGCAAGTCAGAGTGCATTAGACAATTCACTATAGCTAGTGTTGAGTAGGACTTTCTTGCCATTTGAATGTTTCTTGCAAGTGTTAAACATCTCACTTACCTACTGTTTAGGAAAACTGTCACACGCCTGTTTTTGAATGTTTGATTTACATGACACACAACCACCCTCCCACATCCCCTTACTTGAAGTTTTTTTAGGCAAATTATTTCTATGTTTTTCCAAACAACAAACCTATAGCTTGTTTTTTTCAATGTCCACATTTTTGCTGAAGGAACATAAGGTTTTTTGCCTGCCCCTAGCAAGTCACAATGCATTACACAGTGTATTATAGCTAGTGATGAGTATGACTTGCTTGCTGTTTTAGGAGACTTGCTTGCTGTTTTAGGAGACTTGCATGTTCTGCATGTGTTACTTACCTGACACACAAACCTATTCCCCCTCCCTTAGATGAGTTTTGGTTGGGAAAATTATTTATAAGTTTTCCAAACAACAAACCTGTAACTTGTGTGTTTCAATGTCAACAATATTCAAACAACTGTTTTTGCATGTTTTCTGTTAAGGTTTTTTCTACCCTAACAAGTCAGATTGCATTAGAGAGATTTGCTTGTTGGGTTGACTGAACATTCCAAAATAACTGCAACAAGTTACCTTGCTTTTTTTTTCCTCTAGACATCAAATGAAAAAAGACCTAATCCAAGGGGTAGTTGCATGCATACATCCTAGCATTGCTGGCCTTTTGTGTTTCCTTGTTGCAGGGAGAGGGTACATCCCCAAGATGTCCAGAAAGAGAAAGAGAGGTGGCGCGGGGGAGGTTGTACCGGAAGGGACCTTCAAGTGCTAATGGGGTGGGTGGATGGATCCTCGCTCCTGAGAGCTCCATGTATGTGAGATCCATGGCAGAAGAGGGATGAGAAGGGAGGGAGGGTTGGAGGAGGAGCAGCGAGCTGAAATGGATGGGAAAGGATGAAAGGCTGCAAAATTACAATCGGGGGATGATATAATCTGTCCATGTGCGTGATCGAACCATTCTTTCCTCATTTGGGCACCAGCTGGAAACAGGGGTAGGGTCCACTACCTTATTTGGGCATGTGCCCTGAACCGCTAGCCAGCCAACGATTGCTGGCTAATCACGTCCTCTTAGAAATTGTCGTATCATGTATCCTCGTATTGGTGCTACAAATTGTCACATACATACAGCCCTTCAAAAATTCATAAAGGCCTACATCCACGCGCTAGTCGCTGGCGGTGTGGGCGCGTGTAGCCATGCGGCCAGCTCGTCGCCTGGCATGGGGACACGTGGATGCCCAGCTTGCCCGGAGTCCTCCAACTTCGCGGTGTGAACCGTGCTGCGCCCAACATGTGTGCCAGCTGTGTGTGGTCTGCATCCTGCCACACGGACATGTCAGAGACGCTAGTGCCGCTGCCGGTCTGCTCGCCGACGCGGCGTTCAGCCATGGCTGACGTTCCGTGGCCGCTCGACCTGGCGCGGATGGTATCGCTCCGGTGATGTGCAAACAGGGTCCATTCACATGGTTGAGCCGAGGAACTATGATCCATGGCAAATGAGATCGTCCGCGTGTGACGAGCAAATGAACCGGGAACGTGTCGGTCGGGACTCGGGAGTAGAGGAGAGAAGCATCTGGAGCGCGTCGTCGGATGCATCAGGAGGACCAGTGTCGGCAGATCCCCTCGGGTATGCACGAGCGGAAGTTTGCATCCGGTGTCCACTTATTTTTTTGCGAACTAGTTAGGGACATTATGTTGGCAGATGCTATAACCTTTTTAGCTCATCATAATTATTAGCAGTTATTCTCTTATCCGGAAATACTTGTCGGAGAAAAAGATAAAAATAAATGTATATCAGTTCAGAACTAAAATACGTCCAGATACATTCGTTCCTCCGACAAATATTTTCGGACGGAGGGAGTACAATTTTGTCAAACACGATTGTTTTGTTTTGCACAACTACTCTACTGGTTCAAGGGAAGTGGTGGGATGCTCTGCTCGCTCCGGAAGTAGTCGCCAGCATCCACCTTGCGCTTGATCTTCGTGAGTCTCCTAATGTTTTTTGGGCCGAAATAACTCTCTCCCCACACCTTGCCGCTTCCATAGCTTGTTACGTCGTCAACCACCTTATTCATACCGATGTCGAGGTCCCTGTAATTCAAAAGAGAGCCCCTTGGGTTCTTGCTCATGAGCGGCACCATGAAGTCATACATGCTCCCGACCCAGTTCTGCGTAACCTCGCCTCCGATCCCTTCGCCATTCCAGAACTCGACATACTGGATATTGTACAACACGGTGCTCCGGTGCGGGAACAGGGTGTCCTCGGCGGCGATGCGGCCCACTCTTCCACCGTGCGGCTCCAGGACTAGCTGCCCGGTCGCCGCACCGCTGGGCCAGAGGAACATTTTCTCCAACGTCTCCTTGGTCAGAGGTTTCTTTACATAGTCGGACTTGTTCTTGACAATGGGGCCTAGGGTCTTGGACCGGTTGAGGAGGAGCCTCTCCAGCGGCTCGCTGTAGATGGCGTCACGGAAGTATATGTACGCGGTGTACTGCAGTCGGCGCGTGTCACCCCGAGCTCCGGGAATCGGCTCCCCATCATCGCCACCACCACGCTGTTGCTGCCGAGGAACAGGTCCTGGAAGTTGGCCTGACGGTTTTGCAAGACCACATGTACACTGAGGTCATCAGGGAGTGCCGGCTCGACCTTTTGCCATTTTGTCACTGTGTCGAACGTGCCATGTTCGACGGTCTTGGTGACTTTGATGAAGGTCACCGTCGATGGGACCGGCACCAGCCTCACCTTCCACGACAGCACAATGCTGAAGTTTCCTCGCCACCATCTCAGATGGCCTAGAAGAGATCGTCCCCCATGGCCTTCTTGTCCGCCAGGAGGTTCCCTTCGGCATCGACCATGGCGGCGTCGACCACGTTGTCGGCGGACCGGCCCAATTTAGTTTGGCATTTGCAGGTGAAGGAAATGAAGTTTTGATTTAGATGTGATTTAAATGCAAGGAATCGAACACTGGTCTCCAGCTTTCGATCAAGCCGACACTAGACCAGCCTTTGGTTGGTGACATCGTAGTAGAATTAGGCAACTTAAGTCCAAATGAGTCGTGGTTTTCACTGTTTCTTCTCCATTTTTTGTTTTTTTTCTTCTTCATTTTTTCTTTTTTCTTTTTTCTTATGTTTGTTTTCGTTTTCACTCTACATTTCTCGTATGTCAAAAACATTATTTTAATAAGTGATCAACATTTTTGTAGACATGTTCGACATTGTTCAAACGCTTATTAAACATTTTTTGAATACTTGTTCAACATTTTAATACTTATTTGACATTTTTAAAATACATGTTATAACATTTTCAAATACCCATTCAACACTTTTTAAAACTTAATCAACATTTTCATGTACTTGTTCAACATTTTTAATACTTATTCAATATTTTAAAATACTAGTCCAACATTTTTTGAAGTACTCATTCAACAATTGTCAAATACTTGTTCGACATTTTAATACTTATTCAATTTTTTTAGAATTCTTCTTTAACATTTTTTAATAATTATTCAATATTTTTCAAAAGTGTTTTTGAAGAGTGTTTTTTGTATATAGGTAGAATGTTTTAACGTATAAAGAAAAATACAAAAAAACTAAAAAAAAGAACAGAAAACAGAAAAAAAAAATAGGCCGTAGCCTTCCGCGTGGCTGGGCCGGCCCATCGGGTCTCCTCCCAACGCGAACCTTCCCCTGTGCTCACTTAAAGCGAGAAATAGGGGTGCACGGTTATTTTGTCGCGTATGTAGCAGTTGTCCCGATGTAGTCTGGTGCTTTTCACCCCTACCCGTAGGGCCATTTTGCTCCCTTTAGCCCATCTTCCTTTCCTAGCCCGAGCACAGCCGAGCCAGCACGTCTATACGACGCCTATTGTGGACTGGCCCACTAATGAGAGCACTTACCGCATGTAACTGATTACATGTAAGTTCACTATTATCGCTGTCATCCCCGCACCCTTTGATTTTGTAATGCGGCAGCTGATGTTTTCGCAAAGCCGAACATGATGCAGGGTCATGCTGGTTCAAGTTCAATGTACCTCCTGACGTTATTAGGACTATAGTTTCTACTCAACAGATCTCAAATGTGTGAATGATGCTGCACATCATCTCGCAAAAAAAAGTGAATGATGCTGCCCATTATCTGAAAAAAAATAACTTCTTGGTTTTGAATTCTATCGGGCTACGTTATATCTGTAGCACCAAACTCATGCAGAAATAATTAGTTAGGGACTTTATGTTGACACATGTTATAACCTTTTTAGCTCATCAGAACTAATAGCAGTTACATTCGGTCAAACACGATTGTTTTGTTTTGCATAGCTACACTAGCTACTCCTTCAAGGGAAATGGCGGCACGCTCTGCTCGCTCTGGAAGTAGTCGCCGGCGTCCACCTTGCGCTTGATCTCGGCGAGTCTCCTAAAGTTCTCCGGGCCGAAATAGCTCTCGCCCCACACCTTGGCACTTCCATAGCTTGTCATGCCGTCGACCACCTGGTTCGTGCCGATATCGAGGTCCCGGTAGTTCACGTACGCGCCCCTCGGGTTCTTGCTCACATACGGCGTCATGAAGTTGTACAGGCTTCCGATCCAGTTAGGCGTAGCGTTGCCCCCGACCTCTTTCCCGTTCCATAGCTCCACGTACTGGATGTTGTAGAGCACGTTGCTTCGGTGGGGGAACGGGATCTTGACGGCGCCGATGCGGCCCATTATTCCACCGTGTGGCTCGAGGATGAGCTGCCCCGATGCTGCGCCGTTGGGCCAGAGGAAGATCTTCTTCCAGGTCTCCTTGGTGAGGGCTTTCTTGACGTAGTCGGACTTGTTCTTGACGAAGGGGCCTAGGGTCGTGGACCGATTGAGGAGGAGCTCCTCCAGCGGCTTGCTGTTGATGGCGTCGCCGAAGTATATGTACGCCGTGTACTGCAGCCAGCTCATCTCCTTGCAGTCAGCGCTCGTCACCCCGAGCTCCGGGAACCGGCTGCGCATTGTCGCCACCACGGTGCTGCAGTTGCCAAGGTACAGGGACTGGAAGTTGGCCTGGCTCTTTTGGATGACAACACGTACGCTGAGTTCGTCAGGGAGCGTCGGCGCAAGCGTTTGCCATTTGGTCACCGTGTCGACCGCGCCCTGTTCCATGGTCTTGGCGACTTTGAAGAAGGTCACCTTTGGTGGGACCGCCACGAGCCTAAGCTTCCACGACAGCACGATGCCGAAGTTCCCGCCGCCGCCGCCGCGGATGGCCCAGAAGAGGTCGTCCCCCATGGCCTTCTTGTTCGCCAGCAGGTTCCCGTTGGCGTCGACCATACTAGCGTCGAGGACATTGTCGGCCGAGAGTCCATACTTGCGCATCATGAGGCCTATGCCGCCGCCGCTGATGATGCCCCCCACGCCCACGGTCGGGCACACGCTAGCCGGGAAGCCCAGCCCTGGCGCGGCCTTGGCTATGCGGTAGTAGAGCTGTCCGACCGTCGCTCCGGTCTCGACCCACGCGGTGGCTTCGTGCGGGTTGACGTGGACGGCATGAAGCTTGGCGAGGTCGATCACCGCGAACGCCTGGCCGTTCGGGGTGGTCGATCGGTACGAGAGGCCCTCGTTGTCGTGCCCGCCGCTGCGCACGCGGACACGGACGCTGTGGCGTCGCCCGCAGCGCACGGCGGTCTGGACATGCGACGTGTTTGTGGGCGTCACGATGCACAGTGGAGGACTCGCCGTAGCCGGCGCCACCAACCTGGCGTTCCTGATGGACGACACCAGGAGCGGCGTGAACGACGGCGAGCTTGGCGTCAGCACGAGCTGGCTGGGGATGTTCGCCGAGAGGCACCGGAGGAAGTCGTTGTTGTTGGAGGACAACGCCAGGGAAGGGGCGGGCACGAAGAAGCCCAAGAAGCAAATTGTGAGAACGAGCGCCATGCTTGCCATTTCGATAGATCTGCCTGTTTTCCTACACTGACATGGTGCTTCTGTTCTACTCTATTTCACCTCCTTTATATAGCCATGGCCCATCCTTATCTTGAAGGCAAGCTGTTAGGATATCTCTCCCCAAATCAAGTAGGAATTTATTGTGCACCAAAGATTAAGATCTCCGAATCAAGAATAGAATGAAAGGCTTCAATAACTTTAATTATCTCTATGGTACTCAATAAATTTCTTCCATTTTATAAGAAATAAAACGATACTGCCTACATTCCTAAATATAAGTCTTTAGGATTCCACTATGAACTAGACACGGATGTATATAGACATATTTAGAGTGTACATTCACTCATTTTGCTTCGTATATAGTGCATAGTGAAATTTTTAAAAAAAACTTATATTTAGGAACAGAGGGAGTAGTTGAAAAACCGACTACCAATCCAGCAAGGTTGTTAGGTCATGTTTTCACAGGTTCATTGACGACAAAAACTGGAATACTTAAACTAACTAACTAATTGCACGTGTGTTGCATACTACTCCCTTCGTTCCAAAATAGATGACCCAACTTTATACTAAGGTTAGTACAAAGTTGAGTCATCTATTTTGAAACGGAGGAAGTATTAGATCTGACATGTGCATTACACACACCATATTGAAGATTTTGATAGGATTTAATTTTGATTTGAATATGGGTAGGGAATGGAAGGAAATCTTTTATTTAGTTTTGATAAGATTTGATTTAATTTTGATTAGATTTGATTTAATTTAGTATTCGTAGGTGAAGGAAATAAATTTTTGATTTAGATGTGATTTTGGGAAGATTTGATTTTATTTGATAGAGTTAATTCAGAAATTGATTTTCGGAAGGTATGGATTTGGTTTATATTATTTCTTTACTCTCTATTTATGTCAGTTTTAATTTTGTGTTGCATCGTGTGAGAGTACCAAAAATCAATAGAAAACCAAAGAGGAAGAGGGGATCATTGGGAGGAAAAAACCGAGGGAGGAGGAGGGAGGAGGGGACGAGATGGGACCAACTCCCCTTTAATTTTAGACACTAGTAGACTACCCGTGCGTTTACATGGGCCAACAAATAAATTTGTAAACAATGCTCATATTACTCTCCCCAAATGAAGACATTGCACACAATGTTCAGCCACAACACAAAGGCAAGTATCTTCTTTGTATTCCAACAAACAGCATGCACCCCTCTAGCCTCTTTTTTTATGTTGAAGTTGTTCTCCCTAGCCATCTTTGTCCATACATCAACTATCCTCTCAATCTATTGCCCCTTGACTCTTCATGTTGCTTCTATGTCATTGTTTTGTTATCTCGCTCTACTACGTATGTCGTGCAACATGGAACATGATCAACAAATGATGAGATACAAGGCACATCACCTTAGTACAAATCATAAGAAAATGTCGCATATGAAGATGAAATCCTTATTTCCACCACATCTTCATTCACAAACTAATAATGCTATGTATATCTCTAGGCTATGCTTCCATCTCCACCTAAGATGCATCTCCGTCACTTTATCTCACTAATACTTATGTTCCTATGGACCTCAAATATACATACAAGAATCACACAACAAGGTTGCATCATTGCCATTCCATCTCTTGTTTCACTTAAGCTCTTTTGGTCGTTGCAAACTAGTCTGCTCCGTCGTCACCCTGCTCTGAATCTGCCCGTGTTTCCGTCCGGCTCCTACTATGGCCATCTTTTCTCCAAGTCTTTCATGTCGTATCAAGTTTGTACTTTCAGCCTCAGAATTTTCACTGTTCGGAATGAGGAGGGTTTTCAGAGTTCACTTGTCTGAGAGAACACAACGCATATTGATACAGATTAGTGATGAATAAAAATCTCTTTGTGTTATTTATAATGATGAATACCAACATATGCTAAGTTATTCAATGGAGTAGCTACATTGTTGTGTTTGAAAAAATAAGTCTAACATGTGTATATTGAAGCGAATCCTTGAATTAAAAAACGCAAGAGCAAAAGATGACTACTCCCTCTAGACGGGTGCACGGGGCATCCACAGGTTCCTAGATCATCAGGTTGAGCAACACATTATGCAACACAAAAACTATGTGTTTAGCAATTTTATCCCAATACGAATATAGCGTCTATTGCCCGCACCTTAGTCGCTCAAATCGTTGCCCCCCTTATAATGGGCCTTGCTAGTGAGCTAGGTTATGGGTCCCTCCTCTTCAACCTGCTCACAATGAGAGCTTTCTCTCTATTTATATAGGTGTTTGTTAGTTTGCTAGCTCGTCTAGGGATTCATCATGATTAGAGGACCTTGTGATTTAAGGGGAATGTATCTCCCTATAACCACAAGATCCCTAACATAGTGTGTTCGTCCTTAGAGCAACTCCAACGGTCCGACCAAAACGAACGGCGACTTTGTCCGCATTTTGTCCGTTTGGGTCGGCTACCCGCCTGGCGTCTGTTGGGGAACGTAGTAATTTTAAAAAAATTCCTACGCACACGCAAGATCATGGTGATGCATAGCAACGAGAGGGGAGAGTGTTGTCCATGTACCCTCATAGACCGAAAGCGGAAGCGTTAGCACAACGCGGTTGATGTACTCGTACGTCTTCATGATCCGACCGATCCAAGTACCGAACGTACGGAACCTCCAAGTTCAGCACACGTTCAGCTCGACGACGTCCCACGAACTCCGATCCAGCAGAGCTTCGCGGGAGAGTTCCGTCAGCACGACGGCGTGATGACAATGTTGTTGATACTACCGACGCAGGGCTTCGCCTAAGCACTGCTACAGTATTACCGAGGTGGAATATGGTGGAGGGGGCACCGCACATGGCTGGAAGAGATCAACATATCAACTTGTCTGTCTAGAGGTGCCCCTTGCCCCCGTATATAAAGGAGCAAGGGGGGAGGCCGGCCGGCCCCTGTAGGGCGCGCCAGGAAGAGGAGTCCTCCTCCTAGTAGGAGTAGGACTCCCCTTTCCTACTCCCACTAGGAGGAGGAAAGGAAGGAGGAGAGGGAGAAGGAAGGAGAGGGAGAAGGAAGGAGAGGGAGGAAAAGGAGGAAAGGGGGGGCAGCCCCCTAGTCCAATTCGGTTTGGGCTAGGGGGGCCGCGCGCCCTGCCTCCTCTCTTCCACCACTTGGCCCATGAGGCTCATTACTTCTTCCTTGTATTCCCGTAACTCCCCGGTACCCCGAAAAATATCCGAATCACTCGGAACCTTTCCAATGTCCGAATATAGTCGTCCAATATATCGATCTTTACGTCTTGACCATTTCGAGACTCCTCGTCATGTCCCCGATCTCATCCGGGACTCCGAACTACCTTCGGTACATCAAATCACATAAACTCATAATACCGGCGTCACCGAACTTTAAGCGTGCGGACCCTACGGGTTCGAGAACTATGTAGACATGACCGAGACACATCTCCGGTCAATAACCAATAGCGGAACCTGGATGCTCATATTGACTCCCACATATTCTACGAAGATCTTTATCGGTCAAACCGGATAACAACATACGTTCTTCCCTTTGTCATCGCTATGTTACTTGCCCGATATTTGATCGTCGGTATCTCAATACCTAGTTCAATCTCGTTACTGGCAAGTCTCTTTACTCGTTATGTAATGCATCATCCCGCAACTAACTCATTAGTCACATTGTTTTCAAGGCTTATAGTGATGTGCATTACCGAGAGGGCCCAGAGATACCTCTCCGACAATCGGAGTGACAAATCCTAATCTCGAAATGTGCCAACTCAACAAGTACCTTCGGAGACACCTGTAGAGCACCTTTATAATCACCCAGTTACATTGTGACTTTTGGTAGCATGCAGAGTATTCGTCCGGTAAATGGGAGTTGCATAATCTCATAATCATAGGAACATGTATAAGTCATGAAGAAAGCAATAGCAACATACTAAACGATCAAGTGCTAAGCTAACGGAATGGGTCAAGTCAATCACATCATTCTCCTAATGATGTGATCCCGTTAATCATATGACAACTCATGTCTATGGTTAGGAAACTTAACCATCTTTGATTAACGAGCTAGTCAAGTAGAGGCATACTAGTGACACTATGTTTGTCTATGTATTCACACATGTATTATGTTTTCGGTTAATACAATTCTAGCATGAATAATAAACATTTATCATGAAATAAGGAAATAAATAATAACTTTATTATTGCCTCTAGGGCATATTTCCTTCAGTCTCCTACTTGCACTAGAGTCAATAATCTAGTTCACATCACCATGTGATTTAACACTAATATTCACATCTGCATGTGATTAACACCCATAGTTCACATTGTCATGTGACCAACACCCAAAGGATTTATTAGAGTCAATAGTCTAGTTCACATCAATATATGATTAACACCCAAAGACTACTAAGATGTGATCATGTTTTTCTCGTGAGAGAAGTTTAGTCAACGAATTTGTCACATTTAGAACCGTATGTATTTTGCAAATATTCTATGTCTACAATGCTCTACAAGGAGCTACTCTAGCTAATTGCTCCCTGATGACCCACAAGTATACGGGATAGTTGTAGCCTCTTTCGATAAGTAAGAGTGTCGAACCCAACGAGGAGCTAAAGGTAGAACAAATACTCTCACAAGTCCTATCTACCACTGATACGACTCTATGCACGCTTGACGTTCACTTTACCTAGAACAAGCATGCAACTAGAAGTACTTTGTAGGTGTTCTTGGATAGGTTTGCAAGATAATAAAGAGCACATAACTAAAAAGTAGGGGCTGTTTAGATAAAGAAGCAGTAAAGTAAACATAGCGAGTGTGGAAAAGTGGTGGTAGGAGTTGCGGAATTGTCCCTAAGCAATTGACTACGTTACTAGACAGATAGCAAGTTTTATGTGGGAGAGGCCACTGCTAGCATGTCATCCATGACTTGGAATTCTATGCACTTATGATTGGAACTATTAGCAAGCATCCGCAACTACTAACGTTCATTAAGGTAAATCCCAACCATAGCATTAAGAT